ACAGCATCATCTTTCAGGATTTGAAATAGCTCAACTGGAATTCCATCACCTCCACTAGCTTTGTTCGTAGTGATGCTTCCTAAGGCCCACTGGACTTCGCATTCCAGGATGACTATCTTGACCATATGTGAGATCAGAGGTAACTTCAGAATTTCTATAATATATATATATATATAGAAAGGTTTGAGATAGCAATTATTTTGGAAAGTATGTGAGAGGATGTTGTCCTGAGCCATGTCTAAACAGCAAGCACACTGCATCATATAGTATATTTACTTGGAGCAGATGGAGAAGGGCTGATGAAAAGTATGGAGAGTTTATGTTTCTACCACATCCCTCTGCTTGAACGACCGTGTGGTTCTCCAGGCCGCTTTCCTACTGGTAATAGCTCTATGTCATACAAAAACTCTATGTCTATTTCTACTCTTGAAATAGTACCTTTAAACTCTGTTTCTAAGACATAATTTGAAAGTAGGCTCTTACCTGCACAGTTGACCATATATACTTCCATTTCACTTGGGAATTTTGATTGTAGCAGTAACAGTCTGACAGAGAAGCTTTAATTAAATCCATCTCCTTCAAAGTTTTACACCTAGAAACTGAGAGATGGAAAAGAGAATATATTTCCTAAATATGTAATTGCCCCAAATCTTCTTTTTTATTCACAGGGTTAATGATGGCTGCGTTTATAGTTCATGAGCATTAATTCTTCTACGCGGTAATTATAGTCCTTCAGTCTTTCCAGCCTAGCGGGAGACAAAAATATTACAGTCCAACATCAGTAGTCACATGACAGATGGAAGGACTGTAAGAGCAAAGAGAACAGGCACGTCTTCAATCTTGAAAGAGAGGGCAAGGACTCAAGAGGCTTCCCAAAGAGGAGGAAATGTGAGTGGACCACTGATCACAGTTGGAGGCAGTGACCTAGAAGTCAGGGGGTGGGGATGACAAGTGTGTACAGATCCACAGAGATGAAGGAAATGATGGAAGTGGTCTAGCCACTCACGAGGATGGAATGCAGGGAATCCATGAGGACGTTTTAACACCGGCAGCTAGAGAGCTAAGCAGCAGTTATCACTACAGTGAGCAACAGGGACTTCTGGCTGAAAGCGGAGCACTGGGGGATTTTAGGTAAATGAAGCTTCAGCAGGAAACTGCTGACATGCCAGAGGGTTTAACTGAGAAGAGTTCAGTGAAGACGTGGACAGGGTTAAGGCATCAACAACAAGGAACACGAAGCTCCCAGGCACCAACAACAGCAGAAAGCCTTTAACATTCCTAGGCCTGAGATGGCAAAGGGGGCCCGCTGTCACTGAAGGTGCGAGAGCTGCGAGGACAGCAATCCAAGGGAACACAGACACTGCCCGGAGTGCTGCCCACCACCCCCTCATCAGTCTCTCAGCAGCCAGACCCAGTAGGAATGGGAACCAGAGGGCAAAGAAGCCCAGAGGCCAGCTTCCTGGCACTGACAGGGGAGAGAAGGGCAGAGAACGCATCTGTGGGAACAGAGAACACAGTCGGGTCTTGGAAAGAGCATTCTGGAAGCCTTATGAAATGTCAGAGCGGAAGAACATGGCAAGCAGAACTGTGGAGGCTCCTGAAGCAGTCTGAATAAGAAATGAACTAAGTAGGAGGGAGAAAGAGCAGATCAAAGAACAACTAGGAAGTGGAATCGACAGACTTAAGAGATTCAGAGGTAACCTGATGGTTCTGGTGAGTGGGGAGACGGTGAGGCCCCTTATCCACATAAGAAATACCAGAGAAGAAGCAAGTTTGTCCAGTGTAAAGGGCATGAGTTCAGTTCTAGATGTGCTGAGTCTTCGTTGATGGGACTAGGTAAAGATGACAGGTCTGGAGCACAGGAGAAGTCTGGCTCAAAACAGATGCAGTATATACATATGTGTGTGTTCTAGGCAATATAAAATATATAGTATGTAATAGATAATACAGCAAAACACAGTAAAATAGAGAGAAGACAAGTGCTGTGTTACAGATGGTAAATGACTGTAGTAAATGCCACAACCAAATTAAAAAGTAATGGGGTTCATTTTACTCTGTAGCTGCTGCTGTTGAATTTAAATAAAGGGAGATGAAAGTCAAAAGCCAGTCCTGGACCCAGGACAGGGTACCACCACTGCATCTGTCAAATACGGAACATCAACAGGGCACATAGAGAAACCACAGGCCAACCCCTGACTCCTCTAAGGAGAGTGTGATCAGCTGTTTCTCCAGGAAAACCTGAAATGAAGCCAGAACCACCTGCTACACCAAAGCTGGGGGAGGACTGGGTAACTGGTAATGACCAGGGAGGAACAGCGTGGAATCAGTCAGCTAGAGCGGAGATCTTTGTGCTGGGAGTCTCCAATAAAAGAGGGGGTCCCTGCCTGTCACTGCAGAGGGAGCGCACTGGGAGGCGGGGGGGAGGCAGGTGAAGCGTGATCTGGAGTCCCCAGCAGCCCAGACCATCATGAGAACGTGAACCCCGGCCTGCTCCTTCCTCAGAGTTCCTCCTCAAACCACACGTGTGCCCACTGTAGGGCCTTTGTGGTGGTTCTCCCAGGGTCTTCGCTCTCTCTGAGAGTTCCACGACTTCACAGGTTGAGTCAGTTCACCCAAGTATGGGAACTGACTGCTAGCGGGCTTGTTAGTGGGCAGGGGAAATGCTGAAGCCTGGGCTTCACAAGCAAACACTACCTTCCACTGAGGTTTTTTTTTTTCATTTTGGTCCTAAGACTGTCTCCTAAATCATTTGATATCTGTAACTCTTCAGCTAAGAGCAAGATGATGCAGTCTAGGTGCAGTGCAATAGCTTGATTTTAGGAGTAAATGCTCCTGTCGTCCAGATGGCGGCTTCATGCACTTGGATGAATGTAAAGGACTGCTAGCTGGTCGGCTCCCAGAACCGCCTCAATTCCGCTCCCCCCGCCCCCCCACAATCTATCCTCTTACCAGCACATGGACCTTTTAGAAACATCAATCAGAGCGCATCGTTTACCTGCTCAACCACCCTCTCCTCAAACGACTTCTCAAAGCAAAACCTGCTCTCCTTTCCTGGGACCCAGGCACCTCTGGCCTTCCCTTCGGCCATACTGGTCACCCTGTCCTCAGGACATTGAGCCGCCCCTGCCTCAAGCTTTCCTGCATGCGGTTTCCTCCTCTTGCCACTGCTTTCCCCAGACCTTGGCAGAGTTTCTCCTTCCAGTAGATGACGTTTGTGTGCTCAGATGTCCCCTTCTCAGCAAGGCCTTCTCTGACCCTGCTGTCTGAAACGGCACACTCCAACCCCTCCCTTCTTACTCTGCTTTCTTCTCTTCATATTACATACATATTTTTTAGTTGACACTCTCCCTTCATGAAGTTCAGGACTCAGCATGTTCATTACTGGATCCCAACATTTAAGTATTCGTCTTTTACACGTGTGCTGTAATTCCAGAGGACTGGTGGGTTATTTGGGCATGCAGAGTTGACCTAGGGAAGGCAAGGCTGTCTTGCTGTATCTCACTGTGCGTACTGTTGGCTGAACCCATGGGAGGCAAGGCATGAGTAGGGAAGCCGGAAGAAAACTCGAGGAGCCACAGGACCTGTAGACACGCTGTGTTCTCTCCTCTGGTTGACCCAGAGGACACAGACCTAACGCAGCCACAACGTAGCCCCGAGGTCTTTTTCAGGTGGAGCTTACATATGCTTACAGAACAAAAGTAGCCCGTGGCCACCTGGGTACCTTGTGATAAGCAGTGTTATAAGTGATCTCAGCTGTTACATCATCATTATTTACAAAACGCGGGACAACACTATGCCATCCCGGCTAGTTTGCTCTTTCCCTATAGTGGCCAGTCTTCACAAGAGCCTGGCCAGTACTGACCATAAGAGAGGGTGCTCTCCAGGCTTCCCCTGAAGCAACCTGATGCTGGACATCTGTCCAGCCTGCACCATGGTCATCCCATCCACAGAACCTGCAGGCTCCACCGCCTCTTCCCTACCCGAGCATCCATGTGCCCTGAACTAAAGGGTGAGAGCTACAACCCTTGATATCCCTCGAGCTGGGAACCATCTTATTTCTCCTCACCAGGCAGAGGAGGGCAGCGGGAAGCAAGTGGTGGGAATCCGCTTGATGTCGTTGGACTCGACATGGTACATCAGCACATTCTGTGTAAGGGACCTCCCAGCTGGAGGACGAGAGCTTGCTCTGATGTCACCTGGTCTTCAACTGGATTAAGGAAAGCACAGATAGAGGCAGGCTGCCCTGCTTTCTGACACCTGCAGACCCACTACTAAGAGCATGCTGCAAACAGCATCTCCCTGGAATTCTCTGGAGCGACGTCTGGCTTTGGCGGTGAGACTGACGCTGAATTCACACAGCACAGGAGACATCACAGACGAGGCGCTGGCATTTCGTGATGTGCTCTGGCTGCTCTCACCGTTACCACCTGTCCCCTGAGGCGACTGCATCTCAGTCAACCCACACAAGAATTCCTAACTGTCTAAGGAACTAGAAACTCAAGCCACGAGAAACTGCAACCCTCGCTCCAAGGGAATTCACTCCAAGGAGTCTTAAGTCATGGACTAGTTGGACCAGCCTAAGACAGCAACTTTGACAACCAAGGTTCTTAACACAGCTGGCCTACTGCCTTCCTAGAGGGAACCAGGTCTTCTCATTTGAGAGCATTTATAAAGGTCATGTCCTAGGCCTCGCCTCCTTTCAGTTATCTTCTACAGACATTTCATTAGGCAGGTTCTACTTCCTCTACCTCCGTCTGAGGGTGGGAAACAAAAACTGTAGCCAGCTTGACTATTAGCTGAACTCTGTCACCTGTTCAAGCCCTGACACTGAAGGCTATGAGGCTGCAGGCACGCCTGCAGGTGTCATTTACTCATGCAGCCTCGGTCTCTGCCCATTCATTCAGGTAACATTGGAACGTCCTGGTGGCAGATCGGGCAAATGGAAATATATCACAATAACAGCAACATGCCCTTACAAGGCAATCCAAAAAACATAAGGGAACTTCTAGGGAATCACACAAATGTCATAACAATCATTCACTGGGTCAGAAGAGAGTAACACCCGCCCAGAAAGAGCCGCTGCTTCCCCGGAGCTGAAACACATCTCCTTCCCAGCAGGTGTCCCCCACCCCCGTAACCTGGGGACTCACTTCCTCAAGCCTGATTCAGGTCAGGAGAATGGTCTGCAAGTGTGGGCAGGCCCAGCCCTGCCTCAGTTCCCAAGCACTTGGGAGCATCTGCAAGACCGACCCTGAGTGCCATCCTGACTGTGACGACCCGGCAAGGCCAGCATCGAGCACGGCCCTCCTGAACCACCTGCAACCCTCAGCAGGCTCTCCTGAACCTTCCGACAATCCCGACTTCCAGAGAACAGTGGGTTTCGGGCCAGTCGTGCCCAAACCGCTGTGACGGAGCTCAGTCCTTTACATTACCAAAGGGTTAGAGTCAGGGTTCCCTTTACCACTGAGATCCCTTAGTTCACTTAAAATACCACTCAATTTGAAAATATTTAATCCAACATTAGGACTACATATCAAATATAAAAGAGACCGCTTCACATCACTTGCTTCAACCAATAAATTTAAAATTACTCTTTCGTACTACATCTGTCATTTATTAGTTTTCCTAAAGGTATAAGGATATAATTAAAGAGTTTAGTCGTAAACTAAACTTACCTTTTCTTTTAAGGTAAAAATATTCAGTCAAAACTTCAAAAAAGGGCAGGTAGTACTTAAACCTACTTACGGAATATGCTAAAAATAAAAAGCACAAACACTCTTCAGGTCTTTGCAGATTTTAAACAATCTCCAACGTAAAAATATTTCAGCAATGTTCCTTCTGAAAATTTAACCTTACATGCCCTTACGGGAAAAAATATCTTCAGATGAAATTATAATAGAATAATAAAATCACTTATTAAATCAGGCCACTTTCCCCATCTGGCCTATATGACTGCTTTTCTTTTGGGGTAAGGAAAGGGAGGGAGAAGAATTAAAAAGCAATAAACTTGAACTCCTGAGAGTTCACAGGGTGGAAGGATTTTTGGGGGTATTATTCTGTAAGCTCAAATTCAAACTAACTAGCAGGTAGTATCAAAATTACAAAGGAACTTCTCTATTAACCATACTTGTTTTTCTAACCTGGCTTGAATATGAATCTTAATTTTCATTTCTCCAAGAAGGTGCACAGAGAATGAAACCGAAACTATCACATGCAAATGCACATTCTGGTCTGATTTTAACTGCAAGTATTGATTTTCTTCCCCAGGGGTGAATTTGAAAGCTGTGGTTTCAAATGGCCTATCACTATGGTTCAATCCTGGGAATTCATTGCAGTGGTCTGAACTTCATCTAAGGACCTTGCCTGCTGGTTCCAAACTCCTGGTGACTTTTGGTTTGAAGGTCCTCTTCCTCTCAGCCAGACAACTATCTGCCCCTCCTGTATCAATTACCTCTGACTTTCCTCCAAATGGGGAGCCAGAAAGCTGTTCTGGCCTCAGTCTGGATGTTCTCCATTCCATGGAAGGGTATGTGTTTTGAAGACAGATTTCTAGAACAGGAAGTATCATCTAATCCAAGCATCTCACATTATAGCTGGGCCCTATTTTTGATAATGAAGTACCAGCTGTTTGATTTCAAGTTTCTCATAAAACTGACTGTTTGAGCAGCAATGGTTCTCAGACCCAGTCAGTCTAGTCCGGGGGTTCCAATACCACAGCTGTCCAGGACTCTTCAGTTTGAGCTGTAAAGTCCATCTGAAACAGCAAGTGTTACGGTAAGGATATAGAAGTTGCCATTTTCCTTAGCTATGGGCTAGAATTTTATTAACTCAATGGGCATCCTGTACATCTTAGATCAAAAGCATTTATAGATGATCTGATTAGCAAAATAAAGTTGACAGTGTCAACACTAAAAGTGGTAACAGTAAAAACCTGAAATAATGGGTTCATTGAGGCAAATGAAAGTAAAGAAAAGGTAGCGCACACAGTGTATGAGAGTCTGCCTGTCAATGAGGAGATGTGGGTTCAATCCCTGGTACAGGAAGATTCCACTTGCCTCAGAGTAACTAAGCCTGTGAGCCACAACTACTGAGCCTGCATTCTAGAGCCCACAAGCCACAATTAAAGAAGCCTACGTATCCTAGAGCCCGTGCTCCACAAGAAAAGCCTTCACAATGAGAAGTCTGCACACCTCAACGAAGAGCAGCATGCGCTCATCACACCTAGAGAAAAGCCTGAGCAGTGACAAAGATCCAGCAAAGCCAAAAAAAAAAAAAAAAGAAAAAAAAATTTCCTTAAAAAGAAAAAAAGGTAAGGAAAATATTGGAGAACATTCAGCAACAGAAGACTTTTGTTTTACTGATGAGAAAACTATAGCCCTTAAAGATTATCTGCCTGGACCAAGGTAATTGTACAAGTGGCTGAATGTAAGGACCGAAGAAGAAATCAAAGTTCTGGATGCTGGTCCAGGCTACTTACAATGTTCTGGCTGCTGCCATGCTCGGAAACTCTTTCTTAGACAGATCTGTGCTTTATTTTTTTCATCAGTATATACTGGTTACCTCTCTTACTACCAAGCCCTCTTCTGTAAAATGGGTATATAAATGGTTCCTACCCTATAGGGCCACTATGGGTATTAAATAAGATAAGGCAATCAAAGCACTTTTAACACTGCCCAGTACAAAGTAAACACTTGACAAACTTCTATTCAATGAAAGCGGATCTAGAATAGCCCCCCAAGTACCTCACTGTGAGATTATCAGGAGTTGGCAACTCGAGCTGAAAATCTGGTAATTGCCTTCATTCATACACAATCCGGAATTTACCAAAGGGGGTTAGCTTTCCCCACCTATAAGCCCAAACCTGGTTGCCTCCCTTGCAACCGAAGGTGGGCAAAGAGGAAGAGAAATCAGTGGACAGTGAGTCCCGGAGATCTTTTAAAGGATTTAATGGGGAAAATTAATGAAATAGAAATGTTAAGCTCATAGCAGAACTGAAGTTAGAACTCTTGCCCTGCCCAGAGTCAGGATCTTGAGAGCACTCCATAGATTGCCCATACCACCACCAGCAGCAGCTACCATTTCCTGTTTTCTTTGTACCAGGCATCGTGCACACGTTACATATCCCAACAATCCTGTGAAATATTATTATCCGTGTTTTTTTTACACGTGACCAGTAGTGGCTTGACTGACTCAAGATCAAAGAACTAGTCAGGGCAGCAGAATTTCAGTGTAGTTCTAAAGCTAAGCTTTTACCATCCCTAATCTTGAGTCCAAAGTTGCAGCTAGACAAAGAAAGATTTTTCGACCTAAACTGATATATACAAATGTCCTGTGTGAAAGCCTTGAGACAAGGATCATCTGTAACAATGACCTGTCTTCAGGTCCTTGGACAAATCAAAACTTCTCTGGGCTCTGGTTGCTTCCGTAAAACGTGGGCAATTAGCCTCCAACTAATAAAAATAAATGGAAAAAAAAAACCAAAACAACACGTGGAAACTGAGCCAGCTGCCTCTAAGCCTGAAATCCAGCCCCCGGCAGAGTCCAGGGAAGCCCAAGCAGGCGGTCAGGGAGGCCGCGCTCGCGGAGGGAGCCTTAAACCAGGAGGGAGACGCCGCCGCCGGGGCGGGCAGAGCCTGGAAGCCGGGCCGGGGTGCTGGGCGGGCGGGGACCGACGGGCAAGGGCGACAGGAGGCCGGGGAGCGAGGCGGCGTGCGCGCGCCCGCAGCCCGTGCCCGCGGTTACCTGAGACGGCTGCCGCCTCCTCTTCCCAGCGCTCGGCGCCCGCAGGCTGCGCGGCCAGAGACGGCAGCCAGAGCAGCAGCCAGCACGTCTCGGGGCGCAGCCTCATGCCGCTCGAGGGTCAGCCGCGCGCGGCCCTGGGAGGAGGGGGACGGGGCTCCTCGGGCGAGAGTAGCGGAAATGGCGCGCGGCGCAGGAGGAGGGCGGGGGGCGGCGCGGCCTGCCGGCGGGAAGGGCCGACGGCCCGCCTCCCCCGGCGGAGGAAGAGTGCGGCCGCCGCCCAGCCCCCCGGCCCGCCGGGCTCCGCCCCGTCTCACCCTGGAGGGTGTGGGCCCGAAGGGACCATCTGTGGATTGTGCAGAAACCTGCCCTGACCCCGACTGCGGGGTTTTAGGGCTCCGTTTTCAGGGTACCCTTGCGTGACGTCCCAGGAAGGCTAAGGCCCTTCAGTTAAGTTCAGTCGCTCCGTCGTGTCTGACTCTTTGTGACTCCACGGACTGCAGCACGCCAGGCTTCCCGGTCCATCACCAACTCTTGGAGCTTGCTCAAACCCCTGTCCATCCAGTTGGTGATGCCATCCAACCATCTCATCCTCTGTCGTATCCTTCTGCCGCCAATCTTCAGCAACCCCCTTACTTAAAAAAATAATAGAAATCAATTTAAAAAATAAAAATCAATTCATCTTTCATTTTCCGTTTTGTTATAACAATAACAAATCGGCAATTTGGTTGTTTAAATAGACTGACTTCTCACATGTCAGTATAAAGAGCTTGTAAAACAGTCTCTCAGAGAAGACTCTTGAGAGTCCCTTGGACTGCAAGGAGATCCAACCAGTCCATCCTAAAGATCAGTCCTGGGTGTTCATTGGAAGGGCTGATGCTGAAGCTGAAACTCCAATACTTTGGCCACCTCATGTGAAGAGTTGACTCTTTGGAAAAGACTCTGATGCTGGGAGGGATTGGGGGCAGGAGGAGAAGGGACGACAGAGGATGAGATGGCTGGATGGCATCACCCACTCGATGGACATGAGTTTGGGTAAACTCCCGGAGTTGGTGATGGACAGGGAGGCCTGGCATGCTGCGGTTCATGGGGTCGCAAAGAGTCGGACACGACTGAGCGACTTAACTGAAAACATTCTCTCACCAATGTAACATACCCCTTGAAATTAGCTTGTGTGTATGTTTGTGTGTGTGTGTGTGTATTTAAAAAGATACAGAGAATAGATTGGTTGCCGGAGAGGGGGTGGGGAGATGAGGGAACTGGGTGAAGGTGGTAAAAAGGTCTAAACTTCCAGTTATAAGTTCTGAGGATGTAATGGTGACTAAAGTTAACAATACTGTAACCTTATTTGAAAACTGTTGACAGCAGATGTTAGAAGTTCTCATCATTTAAACAAAAGCCTGCAACTGTGAGGAAGTGTATGTTAAACAGATTATATTTACAATATATACATATATCAAATCCCTATGTTGTACTCCTAAAACAAGCACAGTGTTCTATGTCAATCATATCGCAATAAAACTGGAAAAATACCTTGAGTGGTTTTAATAGCAATAATGAGTAGAGAACTCCTAGTTTGAAATATCTTTAAACTGTATTTTTTTTTTAAGGCACAGATCCTCTTCAGGCCTTGGAAACCCATTAATGTGATTCAGTATTTCACACTAAACATTCAGTAGAACAACAGCTCGTTTCCTATTTTGTAATTTTGGGCTTCTGCTAAGGTACTCCAGAGAACCCAATTGTGACAGAAATCACCTTCTAAAAATAGTTAACCTCATTTTCCCCAAAGGTCTGAGTAGAACTCACTAGACTTTCCCCAAAGTAAAGTTAAACCAACTGCCTTCAAACCCCTGGTGCCATGTGTACACCCAAATATTGCTTTTTGCAAATTCAGAAATCTTATAAAGAACTCTTGAGTTCAGAAATCTCCTTGTAAGGGGCTCTTGGGGAGGATGAGTTTTACAAACAAACTGTTATTATTTGAACTCCTACCTTGTCTGACCCTGAAGACTACCTCCAGAGAAACAGCAGAGACCCTGACCCCACTTGCCCCTTGCACAACATTTTTTTCTAACCATATTTATTTTGATTTAGTCTAATTTTGAATGGCATTATGAAATGTGGCTAAAAGAAACAGGTATATTCTCAAATGACAGAAATGTTTTCCTATACCTGTATCAAGTAGAGGAATAAAAGAACAGGAAACAAGTGTGTATTAAATTAATATTTTAAGTGCTATTCATGTAGCATATCCCTAATAAATATCTTTAGCTTCTTATTAAGAAAGCTAAATCAAAACACCACATTCTGCTTTAAAGGATAGCAATAAATATTTTCCTAGAGATAACAGAATCTTAGAAGGTGACCATTTTATCGCTGGGAGACTATGATGAAATTCAACTAAACCTCCCCAAACCTTTCTCTCTTATGAAAACCTCTCATGAAAATAGATAAGCTTTGTGGTGACAATGGCAATGAAGGGGGGAAGAGATACTGTGGAGATACTCTCCACAGTATCAAAAGAACTGTGGAGAAAGAAATACAAGAAAACAGAATAAGGAGAGTTGTCAGATTTAGGAAAACTCATGGTTCTTTCACATCATTATGGAACACTGCTTCCTTTTCATGAGAAGCAGATGGGATTAACAATCTGTGATTAGTGCAGTCTATTGTTCTTAAATTACATCAGCATTTGTGGTGCCTCTTTCTAGAAGACAACTACACTGATTAAACAAACCAAACCAAAACCAAATCCATAGAAACAGGACTCCTGCAGAATCTTCTGTTCATAGCTATCTGGGATATTATGCAGATTTGCTTTCTGTCTTTCTGTTAGAAAACAAAGAATATGTTTGCCTATCAGTGGATTAGTGAGGGGGTTGCCATTTTACTTGCCCAGGTGATGTAAGACAATTAATTGTACCTGGATTTTAACGCCAGCCAATACTTTTCTACCCCAAAAGAGATGCTTGAAAAAGGACAAAATTCATTGTCTATTTGAAGAAGATGCCCAATTGTATTGCCTACAGACCTCAGCTATGGATTTCCAGCAAACACTCCGTGGCAAACTCTAAGACAAACGAAGCACTGCCTGTCTGGATCTCACAGGTAAGGAAGAAGTCGGAACTCTTGGCAGAATGCTAGCGGTGTGGGTAATATGTAAATGTTTAACGCTGTAAAGGCAGATTCCCAGGACATACCCTCCTGAGACTGAGTCAGTCCACTTGGCATAGAGACCCAAATGTCTCTTCTTAATATTTACCCCAAGTGATTAAAAAATATTAAGACTATGAGTTTTACAAGTTTCATGCTTGAATGGAAGTAGAATTTTGGGCAAGTTTGAAATCATAGCTAAAATACTCTGTGCATTTTATATAATTTATATTGCTAGAATATAACATCTACTTATTTTTTTCAAAAACCAATGCATAATAAAGAGTTTCCTTAATATTATTTTGGTGACCCAAGTTCTTTAATTCCATTTGACTATTTTCACATGGTGTGATAAAAATTACAATTCAAATTTCAGCCTCTGCGTTTTTATTTCTGGAGTTCTCGCTCCTGTAACTAATTAATTTTCTGTAACTGTCACAGGGTTATAATCAGTCATTATGAATCAGAAGTAAAATTTAGTTCATGTCAGAAATTATTTAGGAGCTTTCACTTGGTTTCTAGGTTGGTAGAAGGTTTAATTAAATGAATTAGAAGAAAACAGGCAAAGTTCTGTTACTTTGGATTCTTCCATAAAAGAGGATTTAGAAAGACTGTAATGATACCCAGCAATGCCACAAAGATTACAGAAGCTGTATGTCACCATTTCTTTAACAATTCCCACTTTTAGAATTTTATACATCAAGAGAAAAAAAAAAGGTTGTTCTAGACTTCTCATAAAATAAAAAAGAAGACATTGACTTGTTGGATCATGTTCTTTTGTAGCATACTTCATGTAGAAAATACTTGGAAATTGACTTGCTATATCCTAGCTCAGTAACTTTAATAATTCACATCAGATAGGTAGCTTTTCAGTATGAATAAATGATGTTGGGAGGGATTAGAATAACTATAATTTATTAAGAAATACATCGTATGTTCTCTAAACTAAATTGCTAAAGACCTTGATAAAAGATAATTGGTCAAATTCAAATCTTTCTGTTCAAATTGAGAGCTGTGGAATTCTTTAAAGTAGTGGTTCTCATATTTTGGTGTGGCTAAGAGTCACGTCTCCAAAGATCTTTATTTATTAGGTCCGTGCAATGACGTGGGAATCCACGTTTACAATTCTGAGGCAAACAGTCTTCTGACCATACTGTACAAGTCGTGGGGAAAAAATATTCAAGTGATTGATGATTAGTTGATGATGGCTGGAAAATAGTTAATCTATGGGAAACGATGTTCTTGGTTAATCTGAGAAAAAGAAGGTAGAAGAGTTGCAGTTTTCTAAGAGTTAACTGAAGGAACTAGGATATAGAAAAATAGTCACCAGTTATCTGTTATGTTTTCAAAGAAATGAGCAAAAAAGAAATAGGTTTAAATTGCAGTGAGTAAGCTTAAGATTGCGTGTGTTAATAGATACATTTTCCCAGCACTGGGATCCTAGTTTATCTCTTACATGGATACCATCCAATCCCGCACTCCAGTTGACTTGTTCCTAAAGAATCTCTTCCAAAGTTTTCTTTTCTGCCAATTCACCCTTAGAAAACTTTTTTTCTTAATCAGCTATTCTCTACAATCTAGGTGACCCACCCCCCTCCACCCCTCTGGAGTAGTCACTATGAAAACAATTAATAGTGAGATAATTAAATGTTGAAAGGCTTTTCTTCTTTCAAGAAAAGCTTTTAAACTGCAGATATCCTTTCAGATGGGTTTCCTTGGGTGGCACTAGTAATAAAGAACCCGCCTGTCAGTGCAGGAGACAGGAGAGACCCGGGTTCGCTCTCTGGGTTGGAAAGATCCCCTGGAGGGAGATGGCATGGCAACCCACTCCAGTATTCTTGCCTGGAGAATCCCCATGGACAGAGGGGCCTGCTGCTAGTCCACAAGGTTGAAAAGAGTCGGACACGACTGAAGTGACTTAGCACGCATGCACCCATCCTTTCAGTTAAGTTC